TTTTAAAAACTTTTTTAATAATGGTTTAATTGAAATTTTTTCTCCTCAAAATCTTCATTTTTTGTGTACTTCAGAAAAAAAATTATTTAGTGCTAACCAGATGTGAAAATTTTATTTTGACCTTAAAATTTTTTTTTCTGAAGTGAATACATTTATTCATTTTTTTGAAAATTTTTCATTATAAACTATTCTTTACAACAATTTTTCAACTTGGTTCGGTCGTGGCATTCCCATAATCATTATTTTTTTTTGATTTTTGAAAATTTGAAAAATTTTTTTTTTAAATCGTTATTTTTAATTTATTCTTACACTTTTTCTCTTACTGTTAGAAAGGGTTTAAAATCAATAATTAATTATTAATGTTAAGAAAGTACGAGCACCAAGGCAACTTTTGATAAAAGGCTTGATTTTTTTTTAATATGAAGTTTAAATATGTCTAAACAAATTCCGAAAATTTGAAGGAGATTGTCCCCGATCATTCAAATAAATAATTAACTTTAAAGTTTAATAATTTAACATTGGTCTTATGGGGTACCCTCTAAACATTGATAAATTTCTGTATTTTTCTTGTAAAACTGTCGGTGAATATTTTTAAAAATCTTATGGACGAAAGTAAATATATTAGTGATAAATTTAATTCAAAAAAATTTACACTTGGCCGACTAATTAAAGTGTATTAATTAAAAGAAAAATAAATGCCGCCATCCGCCAATGTTAAATGTATATCTATATATTGAGAAAAATCATATGGTTACTGCTCTCCCCTTACCGCTCCAGAGTCGATACCTATCCCCACCCCACCCAGCGCTCATACTTCCTTTTAAATAAGGCCATTTAAAAAAATTTACTTTTATCCTATTAATTATATTAAAATTAAGGCTGTAATAGAGTAGGGTTAAACAAGCTGCGATCCCATAAAACATTATTTGTCACACGATGGACGATTCCCGTGATTAAGATAGATAATTTCGGTGGGGCAATTCGGCTAATTCACCACTAGTATGGAAATACTAATGAAGATTCTCCAAAGCGGAACCTACAAACTCGGCAGGCTGACGTATTTCATTGTCGTTATTTTTTTGTGCACTCGACAGTGTAATTATACTGACGTGGTTGAGCGTGAATTTGAATATTCCCAGTGGCAAAAGCTTTTGTTGGTATCTGACTGCTGACTCTGTGCTACTGTCTGTTTTAAAGTTATAAATACTGTGAAATTGTTTAAATTCTCATTCCGATTGTCTCTCATGAGAGTTTATTTCAGCAAATAATCTGACACGCAATTAGATTGCTTTTTAATCAGTAGTTTCTCTAATAGATGAGAAGATTATATTAAAACCGCTTGAGTCGGTGGATTATCCATTTTTTCGAAGTAAAAAGTGATCGGTTAATGCTATAGAGTAAGTCGGGTAATTCTTTCAGTAACCGAAAGCACCCACACTTTTACATCTACACTGTACATTTACTTCTGGTGCAGGAAACACAACAGCGGTAGAAAAAAGAAAAATAACGAAGTAGATGCAGAAAAAATGGTCTGGGGTGCTTTTAGTAGAGAATAGCTGATGTAGGTAAATGGGGTCCATCGAAGGAAGCTGGAGAAGGATAGAGCCTGGATTTACTCAGAGTTACGGTGGTACTGGTGGGATTTTCACCCGGATTTCCTCCCGTGAGAAAGGACCTTACCAGTCGAATTGGTTTTACCAGAACGGCTACATTTCACGATAAATACCTGAAAATAGATACGGGTGTGTTTAATTTTTTTACGCTTAAACCGCCACGATTTTATTTCTTTCTATTCTCAATATAAACTTTTTTTAATCCTCCACGAGTTGGGTACTCAAGAGCCATTACTTAGCTCACTAATTCGGAAAAGCGGTTTTAACGCACTCTTTTAAATTTTTTACAAGTCTATCTTTATTTTCTTCAGTAATGTTCATGTTTAAGTCCCACCAACTGCAAGAACTGAGATCTAATTTCTTAGATAGATTTTAAAAAATTAAAAAATTTTTTAGATTTCCAAAAAAGTTTAAATTTTATAAAAAAATTTTTTGGCCATAAGAAATAGCTTGGATTGTATCAATTATTTTTCAACTTTTGATGATTTTTTTAATTTATTTCCGAGCTTCGAAAATTTGAAAAAAAATTTTTCTAAAAATGAATTTCGAGCCTTAATGTTCAAAAATTTTTATCTATTATTAATCATTATCATTCTTATTTTTCTTACATATTTGTCTAAGAAATCTACTTATTAATGTTGGGTGTGGCCACATGACGCTTTAAAAAAAAATACTCAGTTTATTTTAAAATTTGAACTGATAAGATTACTTCGGAAGAGTATAACATAAATCACTCGAAAGATATTGCATTGGAAGTTCCAGCAGTGTGCAGTTACTGAAAAATAATTACCAAATTTACCGCATACCGCTGGTTACTTTCTGTTTAACGTTCTATTCAAGGCCATTAATCTAAAGGATGTCGATTAAACCGAGATAACTCTCTGGTCTTGTGTAATATATTTTTGAATTTATTTTCTCAGAAAGTTCGGCTGGTTGATAAAACCCAGAAAACGTGCTCTAGCTTACTATATAATACACCCCACTGTAATCATCCACCGTGTAACAGTCCTTGCTCCTTACTTCTCTTTTAATCGAACTAATTCGGTAATTTATTTTATTTCCAAGTCATCCACTCTTGGTTCGAACTTTCAAATAAGAAAACTTTTTAATTTACAGAATTATTATTTGAGATCCCGAACAACTACTTGGGTCAAGATATTTCTTTGTTTTCGCCTTAAACAATTTTTTCAACTCCGATATTGATTTCATACAAATTTAAACCCCACAAGTAAAGTTTATTTTTCTTCCCCTATACTATATTTTATTTTCAAATTAATACTTTGAGTTCAGTATACAGTAACAGTAAGAGAACGAAGTAATTTAATTGGCACTAATAAAAAACAAATTTGACGTCAAGTCGAGTTCAAATTTTGAAATTGCCGCGACAATGTTTTGCAATAAAAAACTATTGAGCGAAGAATATTTTTTGCTTGACTATAAAAGGGGGCTTACTCTCGGTCTATAGGAGAAATTTAATTCAACTCATTTGAAGAGCTCCAAAATACTGAACCAAGTATTTTTAATACGTCGTTTCCTCGCAATTTCATTTTAATCTTAGAAATTGAGGATCTCCGGCATAGCAGATATTCTGGTTCCTCTACTCTGAGTACACAGTGAAAATCTAGCAACGTGTATCCTCCGGCACTTGAATGAGATTGTTGAAATTAAAATCCATGTATGTACCGTCTATAGTCATGGTAGCTGTTATAAAAATATGTATGAGACGGAAATTTTATCCTTTCATTAGTATTTGCCGTGCAAAGGACCTAGATTGGTGCTTTGGTACATAACAGCAAACGGAACAATATAACCTAATTAAAGCTAGATGTAATACACAACGTTGTGTTTGATTTTTTTTTAATGTTCTCATTTTATTCATACTTTGTTCTATTATTAAAATAGAGCTTTACATTTAAAATTAAATGATTAAAGGGTTATACACAATTATAGTCGAAAAAAAGAGGTTTTCAATCATTTTTTCTGAAGAATTTTTTTAATTGATAATTGATTAATATGAAAATGGATGTACATAAAATCGTTAATTTTAATTTTAACCATAAGTTCTTTTTTTTACAAATAATGATTTTTCTTCAGTTCGAATTATCGAAATTAAAAAAAAATTGAGAAAAAAATTAAGCGCATTTAACCACCTTAATACAACAATAGTTTTTATCTCAACAAAACATAACTAATTCCTTAAATTTCAAACTTTTCTTGACTTTATTTTTTTTCTTAGTACGATAAAAAATACCACTCGACTTTTCAGCCATTCAGATCTGAATAAATAATGTATTGAATACACGAACTGATAAGTTTTGGATATGAAAGCCATTAATAATGTATAGAAGAGTGTTGATAGATTAACCTTATTCCAACCAGTCAATAATAAATTAACACAAGTACCATGCTAGAGAACTATGTTTAGTTGATATTTCTATTATACCGTGACATCTGGGTTTAGCAGCCTAGACTCGGCCAAAGTTGGTCCGAGGTTCATCAAGTCTTTACTTATTCATGAATTGGTCTCTGACGACCAGACCGCAAAACCACACGCAAAGTGGAAATGGCTGTTGGTCTCCGCTGCTCCATTTCCTAGCTTGCTCAAACAGTTTTATAAAGCCTTTGTTAAATTGAAACCATCCAAAGTTGCATAATTTTTCAATTGATTACCTTGTGCACGTTCTCGTCCACATCTCTCTTTCTCTCTTTCTTTCTATCTCTTCTGCTCAAAATGAAACAATATTCTCAAAGTCCACCTGGCAATATATCAACGACAATTAATTTGGATTTTCAGCAAATTCTTCGCTAGTCGAGAGTTGTGAACTACGATCCATAAATATCCATAAATATTACCGGTCTTCCCCACCTGGTGTGTCTGCTGCGAGCGAGTCCAGACTCTGTTTATTAGAAAATATTCCGCCAATTTCATCGGACTTTATTAGCCTCGTACACGCACCGACTGCACAATATTACGCTCATATCTCTTTTAATAATTTAATAAACAAATAAAATAACGAAAAAAAAAATTAGCAAATAAAATAAAACTCACAACAGGTATGTTAATTTTATCAGTGATTTTCACCGCTAATTTATTTTATTTCCATAAAATTCATTACAAAAATTAAAAACAATTTTATTTTTATCAAGGATCAAAAGTTGTCCACGCTAAAATCAATCTAAGGCAGTAATTGGCAATACGCTGTGCTAAAAACTGTTCAAAGGTATTAATTATCATCATTAAGGAGTCAGACAGCCTGTTTCGTCAGATTAATCGTTAAATTAACCTCGTCAGCTTAATCCAGTTTATAGTGTCGGGATTGAGAGTGTTGTTTTACATTGACGTTAGTGAATCCTCACTACACGAGTTGAATCGTAGCCAAGAGTACTCTACATCCAGAACCGACGTTGGGGATCATAGAGCGACCCGGTAGCGGCAGAGGCACCTGCTGCGGCGCCAACTTCCACGAGATTAGATGCGATGTACGGTGAAGTAGCCAAATTCTGTCAAAATTAATTCATAACAATTCATTTTAGTAAGTTATAATCCAAGTTTTCTACACTGATAAAAAAATTAATTTAATTGAACAGAAAAAATCTTGAACCAATAACTTAATTTTGAAGAGTTTGATCGGTGTGAGTCAAGTAGAAAAATTATTGAATCAAATCAATTTTTTTTTCAGTGTATTAACAAATTAAACATTAAAAATCAAATATAAAAAATTAATAATTACCGAGTGGTGACGGTATACATTAGCATTGGCAGTAGCGACAACAGCCGCGGGTCCATATCCATGTCCATGTCCATGTCCATGGTTATGGCCATGGCCATGGTCATGGGACCAGCCATGGTTCCATGATCGCGGTTCGCTAACGACATTTCTTACAGGAGTGACTGAAGAAGCGACAGTGTGTTGGCTGTTTACATTTACATTATGGTTCTTCTGAACAACAGCGTTGAAACCGTTGACGGCATCAGCTGCGTAGGAAACAGTGCGTCGGGAACCATCGGGTTCTACCAGGCTGTAAGCTCCTTGAACTAGGTCTCCGTTGCGTGTTTCATGCTGGGCCTTGTTGTCACCTTCAATTTTTATTTTTGTACTCAATATTGAGATTTTATGAATTTTAGGATAAAATTTTTTGATTCTTACCGGTCCATCCGTCAGCAACGGCGTAGCTATAACTGTACTGGGGATGATGGTCAAAAGGTTCTGATTCGATTATAGTTGGTCGAGAAACGACGGTTCCAGCGGGAGTGCTGATGATACCGGCGTGAGCTACTGCCAAAAATGCAGCGACGATAACGAACTAAAATTTTTTTTTTTAATTTAATAGTAAGTTATGGTTTGGATATTTTGAATTTAGAGTCGGATTCTAGTTCAATATTTTACCCATAATTTCAATTCGAAATTTAGAAATAATTTTGCATGAAGATTTTGGAATTTTCAAACATCTGTTCAGTGTTAATTAAACGAGAAAATCATTACAACAAACGAAAAATTATTACGATCAGACAAGAGATAAGTGGAACACGATAACTTGACAAAAAATCCATAATTCACATCATTTTTTTTTTTTTTTTTTTATCAATAGACTCATTTTGTTCTTTACAAGATTGAGTGAATTTATTGTTACGTGTGTGCATATGTGTTATAATAACAGCTGGAGCTCTGTTCGCTAAGTTAAAAAAATACCGCGAAATATTTGAAATAGAAATTACTTCAATAATTTACAAAAATAAATTTTTGACTCTATCAATTAACAATATTTCATCAAAAATTCAATGAGCATTGTGAGTCATGCACTTTTGGATTTTCCAAAATTTTTATCAAATCAAGTCTTGGATTTTTTTATAAAATAACAATTTATAGTTAATAGACTTACCCTTTGGGCCATTGTAGTGGTTGTACTGGAATCAGAAGTAAATCTGTGAATTGGAATGAGTAAGGCGGAGAATTTATACTGTTGAATGGATGCACCCCGCCTTTAAGATTACTATTGCATTACAATTAATCCCGGAAAGAGTGTTGTAAAAGCTATCAAATGAAGGCCGAAGTGAGACAATTTAATATCTCAGTTACATATATGATACAATACAATACAAGAGTTTGCTTGTAACCATAAACACGATCCGCTTATTTATCGCTCCTATAAGACTCTTTCAGCTTTTTACTTTCGTAAACGTTTTTCCGATTTCTTGAGTTGAGTTCCTTGCTGCGCCTTTTCTGATGGGGAGAAACTCGATTCGATCACCCGAACGGCCTAGGGTTTGGGTTTATGGCAAAAAGTTTCCATTTGGTGTGCTTTTTTCGATTTCCAGTAGGTAGTACAGCGGACGAGTGTAGGGCAGATTTATCTTTCCTTAAACATGAAATCTATCACCAGGCGACTCTATTCTTTGGACTTGAGAGGGTTCGCGGGCGTTTGGGATCGGTCGCTCATTTGGACCGGGGATGAGTGCCTTTGGGACCTGAGAGCTTACTCTTGATTCAAATAAAACGATCGCTGGTTCCTCGTATTCCCCTCTGGATCGTTTTATTATACGAAAAGCCTCTAAATCGTCTTCTCTAAATTGACTTACCTCCGCGAAACGCGTACTTCTATTCTCTAGTTTCGTCTTTAGAAAATAGCGCTCGTCTAAGATTTGTTTCTTTAAAATCCTCCGCCTCCCGATTCCGGTCTCACGATTCTCCTTTTCCGTGTTACCTTTTTTCGAGATTTTCATTGTTAGTCTCTGTTCGCTCTGCTCGTGAACCTTCAAGATTACTCGGAAAATTTATTACCCATTCAGTAAAACATTTCTCGCGATTTTTTATTTTTAATCGCGGCTATTTATTTAATCGCCAAGGACATAATTATAAATTGCCATTACTTGGAAGTTGGATCATTTAACCCGGAGTTTAAAACGTTAACATTACTTAAATATTATATTAATAAGAGGAGAACTTTATCATGTCACGAGAAATGAAAAGTGTCATTTAAATTTTACATTAATAAATTAACCTACACTGATAGAAGAATTCCTTAGGGAGTAATAATTTAATTTCTTAAAATTTTCTTGAATGGCTTTTGTGGGGATAAAAAATATTTTTTAATAATTAAAAATGTTTATTAAAATTTAATTATAATAAATATTTTTATGGTTGAATCACCATATTGTTTGTTTACGCTGTACTAAATTATATAGTAGACTAGAAATTTAAATAGCGCGCTACGCGCGCACCTTATTTTCGACCAATAAGGAATCGTGGCCCGTTTTTTTTGCGAGTTTCGACCTTTGACTAACTTCAAGACTTTCATGTATTTTAATTTAAAGGATTAAATGTTACAGAACATTTCAGCTTTTGTATGCACAGAATTGTTTTCATTGTTTTTTGAAAATTTTTTTTTGTCGAACTGTGAATTATATTTATATAATATAAAAATAAAAAAGTCGAAACGTTGCTGAAATTTATGATTATTACTTATTAAAAAATTATTAAATATTGAGAATTCTTCTTAAATATTAAAAAATCTTTCTATCAGTGTAATTATATTGGAAAATAAAGACAACTGTTCAAATTTTCTTCATGTTACGTTGTTTTTAATCTAATCTACTTATAAAAAAAGAAAGGAAAAAAAATTGGGCAGGTACATTTACTTGCTCAATAACAACAACAGTACAGGTAATTAATGAAAATTTAATTTAAAGTTCTTGCATTATCGGGATCGAGTCTGGAGTCTCGGGTTCGGACATTAGGGAGTAGGAATCGTTAATAATTCTCTTTGAAACGAAATTAAACTACGACATCCCCACTACATTTTGATTCAACCGGAAATTACATTAAATTTACTGCTGATTCTATCGTCGACTTTTCAGTTCTCCTTTCGTTCTTTCTTCTATTCTCATTCATTTGCACCGCCTATACCCCATCACCTTTTCCACTTTCCACTTTTCACTGTTCTCGGGTCCTCTTTCCGTTTTCTACAAAATCCATTGGTTCTTCCGTGCTATACTCGGGGTCAAAAATAATTGTTTTTAGTGCAAGCTCGACGTGATGCTCTTATCGATACCTTGAAAAACGGTATTTCTCTTTTATCAATGCTAAAGTTTAATGGATTGGAAGCTACAGCATCCCAATCGGTAACTTAACTAAAATTCCGCAGGATCCAATAGCGAGGCTAAATTATTATCATCATTATTTTATTTAACTTGTCTTTTCCTCTTTTTTTTTTTTTTATTATTATTATTATTACTCTTTATATATATTTTCTGACGACGATAAATCACCGCGAGCTATTTTTTAACTGTTACCTTTACTTTAAATTACCGGGATATCAAATCGGTATATTTTAATACAAGTTTCTTCACACTCTGCTGATTTATCGTTTATTTATTTTAAAAACGTGACCTTATTTTTCACAGAATTTTTTTTTAATCATGCTGAAATTTTAATCGTATATTTTTTTTAAATTTAGTGTTGACGTGATTAATTTAAATTTACTATACTAAAATTATTTTTGGGGATATTAAAACATTTTTTGGTAATTTCTAGAATTCTTTCCGTGGTTTAGAACTTCTTCAGTAATCATTTTTTATCGTTAATCCAATAATTAAATAAAGTTCATGTTTGTAGAAACATATAAATTTTAACAGAGTATTAAATTTTCAAGAAAAAGAAAAAAAATTATCCTTTTAGCTCAAAATTCAACCTTCAAATTTCAACAAACAATAGTCGACTCCATTTATTGATTTCTATCGTTTAATTTCTGCTGAAAAATAAAATTGAAAACTTTTAGTAAAACAATTAAAGAGTTTGAATGATTAGTAATTCAATTACCATTGCATAATTTTCGGTAATAAAACCTCTTGGTAGGACGGTCGCTTTTAAATTGATAAAACTAAAGTAAATTTAATACTCGGTGTAATACAAGAAGTTTTCCCAGATAAAAAATCCAACGATCGCTAGTAAATGTCGTATCATAAAGTACTCAAATAACATTTTCTACTGCTGGCGAGGTGAGTAGAGGGATTACTGCTGAACTATAAAAGTAACAGAATGTCAAAAGTTTTTAGTGACTCTCCAGAATACATTGTAAAGAAACAGTAACACTAAAGTTACGACTATTTTATGCACTAATTTATATTTATCTCGTTGCAATTGAAAAAACTTTTGTTTTAATTTGGACGTACTTTGTTCCACTTCAAATAATATATAGTATCATACCACCTATATTATATAGTTTAATACTGTACGGCAGATGTCCAAAAAATTAAAATGCGATGTGACCGTTCTTGAACGCAATCTGCGGGAAATGTTAATTGCTGACCCACTTGCTATTGAATTGCGGAAGGAACAAGACACCACTGACCCCGAAACGTTATTTTCAGCCGTGTCCTATTTCTTTCCTTGAAAAAAAAAAAAAAAAATACAGAAAAGCTTGAGTAAATAAAGAAAACATTTGCTGCAAGGTCCAGATATAAATATACTATACACTGAATACTGAGCAAAGAGCAAGGAATAACATTGCGGTTACATCCGCAAGAGTACTCCTTACTGCTGGTCAGATATCGGATCGAAGCTATTCAAGAATAGAACTAGTTCCTTATTTCGTTTCTGCACAAACTTTCAATACCTTGATCCTATTTTTCGAGTTTTCTGTTTGTTTTTTCAATAGTACTAGAATTCGTTCGAGCAATTGCTGCGTTATCAGTTTCCTACTCATCAATAAGTGGCTTTTGTGGGTACTCAATTTTTTTTTTATATTTTCAACGAGATTAAAAAAGTTTGGTAAAATACTAAAGAATTTCTAAACGACCAAAAAAATTTATACTAGTTTATTGATCGTTTTTTCTTTTACTTTCATTCAACACTGAAAAGAAACTAGTTCAAGAGTAATATTTTTGATCCGGTAAAGAACTGGTTGTTTTGATTCAAGAATTTTTTGTCTTGCATCTCATTTTCTAATACCTTCAGAAATTCAAAGTATTCAATCGATACAATCAATTTCTTCATAAAGAACAATAATTGTCCAAAACTAACAATAATTTTGGTTAATCTTTTTCTTAATTTGATTTTTGAATTAATTGAAACTAAATATCTTGAAATAAGGCGAAAATTTTTCAGAGAATATTTTTCCTGGATCAAGTAGTTTCTTTTTTACGTGCACAATTGATTTTTAGATAAAAGCAAAACATATTCTTCACATTAATTTTTAAATCAACATTAACCAACTTCGAATTGAATTAGATAAATCGAATTCTTGGAACTGATCTATTGTTTATTATCACAATTCAAAGTGGATTTGATCAAATCGATAGAGGCGAGGAGAGTGAAAGAGGACAGGCAGGAGTGGAGAGTTCGTTATTGTCGTAGAAATATCAGATCCAAAGAACTGAAGCAGGACGAGGACGAAGACGAGAAGAGAGTAAAGAAACGCAAACATATATATACAGCACCGGTGATCGGTGAGCTCTGGTATCGACGCAGTGTGTCTCGTCGATATAAGAGTTGGTTGTTGCCCCCGAGTAATTCGTGGCGTCTGCAGCGAACAGGATTTATTTGCCGGATTACG